CACCCGGACACTGCCCCGGACACCCGGACACTGCCCCGGACACCGGGACACTGCCCCGGGCACCCGGACACTGCCCCGGCACCTGCTCCTAGAGCGGCCCCGGGCACCTGTGCCAGCCCCGGGTACCTGTCCTGGTCCCTGTCCCGGGTATGTGTCCCAGCCCTGGGGACCTGGCCCGGTGACCTGTCCCAGCCCCAGGTACCTGTCCCAGCCCCGGGTATTTGTCCCAGCCCTGGGGACCTGTCCCGGTTCCGGGGACCTGTCCCGGGTCCCTGTCCCGGTGACCTGTCCCAGTCCCGGGTACGTGTCCCAGCCCTGGGGACCTGTCCCAGCCCCAGGTACCTGTCCTGGGCCCCTGTCCCCGGTACCTGTCCCAGCCCCAGGTACCTGTCCCAGTCCCGGGTATGTGTCCCAGCCCTGGGGACCTGTCCCGGTCCCGGGGACCTGTCCTGGGTACCTGTCCCAGCCCCAGGTACCTGTCCTGGTGACCTGTCCCAGCCCCGGGGGCCGCCCCAGAACCTTCCCCCAGCACCTTTCCCCACCAGCAGCTCCCAGGCACTGCCCCAGCCAAGATCTGTCCTCCCCTTGCCCATCGCAGAGGTTGGGTCTGAAGGGCTCCTCAGGAATTTCAGGAGTGTCAGCATGGAGCAGTGCTCAGGGACAGCACAGAACGAGCTGCAGCAATAAATCAATTATCAGGTGTGCTGTGGGCTGAGCTTTGTCAGTGTGGTGTTCTCTGTGCAGAGCCTTGTGCTGCTCCTGTCACGGGCAGAGCACTTCACCTTTTGGGTCCAGCTCAGAAGTGTCCTGGGAGCTCTAAAGCAGCTGCTGTTTCTCAGAGCACTCCCCAGGGCTGCTCCCCATGGGACAGGCACTGGATAGACCTGTCACCTGTCACCCAAAAATGTTCAGCTCATCCCAGCTCAGGTGGGAAGGGACCTCTGGAGGTCACCTGGTCCAGCCCTGCTCAGGCAGGGTCTCCTGGAGCAGGTTCCTCAGCAGCAGGTGCAGGGAAGGAGACTCACAGCTGCCCTGGGGTATTTAACAGTGCTTCTGTTAAAGGTGGTGTGAAAGCAGGAGTGTCCCGTGAATGACACTCTCTTTTGATGTCATTTTCCTCCTGGGCCCTTGGTGTGGTGCTGTTTTCCTCCTTATGCCAAATTTCCTTTGTTAAAATGCCTGTTGAGAGTGCCTGTTACTGAGTGCTTCCAGTTTGCAGTCCTGAAGACACTGCACCCATGTCCAAAATGCCCCTGTCTGGCTGTCACCTGTGCCCAGCTGAACAGTTTTGTGGAACAGGGACCTCAGTTATCACAGATTACAAGTGAAGAGATAAAGAGTCAGACATCAGACTCTTGGCAGTTGAGGAGAATTTCCAGATTAATGAGTGGAGCTATTAACATGTGCTGTGGGTCCTTGCAGACCATCCCCATCTGGCAGAACAAGCCCCATGGCTCGGCTCGCAGCGTGGTCAGGATGATCGGCTCCAACCTGCCCCTGAAGCCCTGTCCCAGGGCCACCTTCGAGGTGAGAGACCCCTGGGCAGGGGGTGGCTGGGGGAGCTGGGGCAGGACAAGGCACTGCCATCAGCTGCTGTGTTGGCCCCACACATCTGCAGGGTTGTAGACACAAAACCTGCACCAGTACAGTTAATAAATGTATTTATTTATTATTATTTATTTCTTCTTTAATTCTGTTCTTGTAAAGTGATCACTGGCAGCTTGGGGAAATCCCTGCTCAGGCAGTGTCTGAGCTGGAGGAGAGGGAAGGGTGGAGCTGCTGAGGCAGGGTTTTGCTGTGTGACCTCCAAGGGGCCCTCTGGGCCTGTTCCAGGATTGTGGAGTCCCCGATGTCACCCCTGGAGCGCAGGGCTGGCACTTGGAGCAGCAGAGGGTGGCACGTGGCCTTGGCAGCGCCTGGCCTGGGGCAGGTGTCCCCTCCTGCCTCGCACACACAGCAGCAAGGAGCAGGAGCTGGCCCAGGGAAGTGCCCAGACCCGAAGGATTTATCTCCCGGCTCCAAAAAATAAAAAAAATGGTGCAAACTAAAGGAAACCTGCTGGAATTGCTGTTGTGCATGTGGCAGACACAGCTGCTCACGGCACAGGGCCTCTGACAGCACATCTGGGGCAGCTCCAGGAGAACAAACAGCATCTCCTCAGCAGCATTTCCTTCCTGCCAGGTGCTGCCAAGTGTCTCAGATCTGTATCTGGGTGATGTGCCCCCCGTGCCCACCTTGGCTGACATCGTGTGGATCGCAGCGGATGATGAGGAGACCTACGCCAGGGTCAGGTTGGTTTTCATCTGCTGCTTTCTGCCACAGAACTCAGGCCAGACCCTGCTCAGATGACCACAGCTCCCAGTCCCCTCTGGGTCTGATGTAGTGCCTCTTAAAAGACATTTTTCCCCACAGAAGGGGAAAAAATTTACAAAGTCCCTGGAGAGGAATTCCTGTAGGAAGTGCCAGCAGCCTGTGCCATGCCATGTTTCACTCCCTGGTCTGTGCACAGTAACCCCCTGCTCCAAGGTGTTTTTTGGTCAGGAAGTGGAAGGGCTGAGTTCTCCCAGGACTGAAATGCCCTGTCCAGCCTGGCCTTGGACACTTCCAGGGATCCAGGGGCAGCCACAATTTCCTGTGCTTCAGAGAGCACCTCTGGTGGTACACAGAGGCTTCACTTGTTTTGTTGGAGGCTCTGCTGCCCTCAGAGGTGGTCAGGCTTTGCCATGGAGAGGTTTGGGTGTGGTGACTGACAGGTTTTTGTCCCCAGAAGTGACACTCGCCCGCTGAAGCACAAGTGGAAGCCGAGTCCCTTCACGGTGATCCAGAGGAACGCCTCGGTGCCCAACCTGAGGAAGCAGGAGGAGAAGCTGCTGGCCCTGAAGAAGCCTGGTTTGCCAGCCCTGAGCCGGACCACAGAGCTCCAGGATGAGCTGAGCCACCTGCGGAGCCAGATCGCCAAGATCGTGGCTGCAGAGTCAGGTAGGGACAGCATTCCCCTGGGGGCTGGGCTCTGCCTTCCTCCAGGCTGTTTTCCAGCTGCTCCCTTGCTGGGATGTTGGCTCTGGGGACAGCTCAGTTTAGATTTACATCCTGTTGTGCTGGGGAAAAGCTGTCCCACGTGGATTGCTGCGAGTTCATCCATCCTCCTCTCGTTTTCTCTTCCAGCCTCTGCCCAGCTGACCCCAGATCTGTTATCCCCAGGGAGCTCCAACGCCTCTTCTCCCGTCCATTGCTTTGGACCCTCCTTCCAGTCCACCACGTCCTTTGTGATCAGCGACATCACGGAGGAGGAGGCGGAGCTGGAGAGCCCCGAGCTGCCCTCGGTGGCCGAGCTGCCGGCGGTGGCCGCGCTCTGCTCTGCCCCCGAGGGCCGGCCCGAGCCCCGGGACCCCGACGAGGAGGACTCCGTGTCCCTTTCCAAGGCCAGCAGCTTTGCTGACATGATGGGGATTCTCAAAGACATTCACAGGATGAAGCAGAGCAAAGACTTGTAAGTGCTTCCTGAAATTCTCTTTTGGTTTTGTGGCAGATCCGTGCAGAGCCTGGGCACGGCGCTGGCTGCTCCGTGTCCTTTGCCCGTGGGGGAAATGTCTGTTGAGAGCAGAACTTGGTAACTCCTTCCTGGGGTTTTTGCTGTTCTGGGATAGGAAATAATGGAGAATTTTCATGGGAGAAATACCTCCCTGGAGCAGAACTTGGTAACACATTCTTGGTTTGGTTTTGTTTTTTTTCTTTTTCCTGGATAGGAAATAGTGGAGGGAATTTAAGCAGTTTAAAGCTGGCTGTTCCAGCTTGTTCACCTGACAAAAAGCTGTGTTTGCCCAGGTGCAAGCCAGCCCTGTGTGTGTTGGCAGCTTTCAGAGTGAGGAGGGTGCTGCTCTTAGCCCACCTCACATTCCCAGGCAGTTGGGAAGCTCAGCAGCTTTTCCAGCATGGAATATACAGGGATTTAACACATGGAGCTTCTCCAGCATGGACTACACAGGGATTTAACACGTGGAGCTTCTCAGCTTGTGTGGTTCTTCATCTGGCCCAGCTCTGGGCGTGGGCAGGGTGGGTTTGCACTTGCCTCATGAAGAATTAACAAGTTCTGATCATGAGAACTCCTAAAACTGCTCCATGGACGAGACCCAGCCCAGCTGAGAAAGTTCCTTCTCCAGTGCTGGCCGTGCCACCTGCCTTTCACACGCTCAGATCTGAGCTGCAGCTCAGTCTCCACACTTCCCGTTCTGTTGTGTGAGATTCCTGGCCAAAAATACCACACTGCCTGGGGGCTGTGCACAGTTGCTGTTTCCCAATTTGGTTTGAAAGGAATCAGATTCTCAGCACTGAAAAAATTCAATTCGGATGAGAGGAACACGCTCAGCTTCCACAGCCAGAGCATCCGGGGTTGTCACAGCTCCATCCCTCACAAAATTCCCCCTTTGCTCTGCTTTTCCTGGGGGCAGCTGCCAGGCCCCTGCTCCTGCAGGGAATGCTGGCACACACAGGCTGCAGCCCAGCCTTTCCTGCCCTCATCAGCTCCTCAGCCTCTCCTGCACACAGCAACAATGGTTTGGGGTTATTACAGCCTAATTAAAGCTGTCTGAAGAGTTGCAGGTAGCTGAAAAATTAAATTAATTACTGATGTTCATTGTTTGATGAGCTCTGTTTCCTAATTCTGGTGCAGTTGTGGAGCAGCCCCTGTGCTCCCCCAGCTGTACTGGGCAGCACTGGGAAGCCTGAAGAGGGTCAGGTGCTCTTTAAGTGGAGGAGAAAAGGTGCTTAAAGATGTAAAAGATGCTTGAAAAGATAATTACATCGATGTTTCTCTGCTGCTGTGTAGGCGTCAGTGCTTAAACTCAGCCTTTGTGTTTAAACTCAGCCTTGGAAGCTTCAGGAACGATTGAGGAACATGCAGAAATTTTCCAGTGGCTGCTGGAAATATTCCAGGGTTTGGATTTTTTGTCTCTTAGGAATGTTTCAAACTTCCATAATGTTTTCTGAGTGAAGGAGGGCTTCAGCTATGAAAAAAAAAATAAAGCTCTGAGGTTATTATTGCAGGTTGTAAACAAAACCACGGTACCTGAGGGGAAAGAGCTGAGGTTTGGCCTCCTGGAAAATAATCTTCTAAAAGGAGCTGCTTGTGTGAGCTTGTTGAAGGAGACAGATTGCCCTGGGAACAGGAGAACTCGTGTAGTGGAAGGCAATCTGCACCAGCCCTGCTTTAAAATGCCTGGGATCTCCCATACTGAAATAGGAAAGCAGAAATCCATAGTGCAGCAAAATCAGTGAAAAAAACTGAAACTTCAGAGCTTCCCCCCAGCCACTTCACTGAGGGTTGATTTATATGGAGGGGATGGAGGCTGTACATAATTAATGAAGTTTTGGGTTGACTGCTTGTTACCAGCACAGTGGAACAAGAAGAATCACCCAGAGCTTTGAGGATGAGACTTCCAGGATCCCCCTGGTGCCACAAAAGGAGTTCCTGGAGCTGAATTTTGTTGGTTTTCGGGTGTTCTTCTTGCACCTCCTCCATCTGTGACGGCATGTCACGATGCAAGCTGCAGGAGAAGGCTTGTCAGGGAGGGGTCCAGCTCCTGTCTGGGCTGGTGGCAGTGCCCAGCTCCTGGTGGCAGTGCTCTGTGTGCCCTGTGTGTTCTGTGTGCTGGTGGCAGTGCCCAGCTCCTGCTGGCAGTGCCCCGTGTGCCCCGTGTGCTCTGTGTGCTCCTGTCTGGGCTGGTGGCAGTGCCCAGCTCCTGCTGGCAGTGCTCTGTGTGCCCTGTGTGTTCTGTGTGCTGGTGGCAGTGCCCAGCTCCTGCTGGCAGTGCCCAGCTCCTGGTGGCAGTGCTCTGTGTGCCCTGTGTGTTCTGTGTGCTGGTGGCAGTGCCCAGCTCCTGTCTAGGCTGGTGGCAGTGCCCAGCTCCTGGTGGCAGTGCCCCGTGTGCCCCGTGTGCCCCGTGTGCTCTGTGTCCTGCAGGAGCCGCCCGGCCATGAAGGAGGAGGACCCGGCCGTGCTCATCGCAGAGGTGCTCCGGAGGAAGTTTGCCCTGAAGGATGAAGACCTGGCCCTGAAGGAGAAGTGATGCTGCTGCACTCAGCTCTGTAAGCAGAGTTCATGCTCCCAAAACCTCCTCCACAGTAGCTGCCTTCTCCCAGGGATTGAGCCTTTGCCTCTTTGATTAAGCAGACACGGTTGGTGCACCGGACACTTGGTTAGGAAGGACCCTTTGGGTTTGATGTGTTTTCCATGTGCTGTTCTATTTAAGAAAAACCTTTCTAAGAAGATGGAAGCTCTTTGCCACCTGTGTGTGTTGGTGTTGGTGGCTGGTGAGGAGCTCCTGGAGTGCTGCTGGATGAAGTCCTTTGTACCTGCACTTTTCCTTAGGTTCCAGTTAAGCATTGAGCTAAGGATAGAACCAGTTCCCACGCCCAGTATGAGCAGGACAGATCCCCAGTCCTTTATCCTGAGGATGCCAGAGCTGCTGAGAACAAGCTCATGAGTGCTGCCAGCTCTCCAGGGCTGTTGGATCATGGTGGGAAAAGGTTTTTTTTTTCCCAAAACCCCCCTGGCTCGGGTCTGAGGGATCTCATGTGCCCTGGGTGTTCCTTCTCTCACAGATCCGCCCACAGTTGCATGACAGAATGGCCTTAATTTCTTGCCAGTAATTTAATGTCCCATGACCAGTCCCTGCATCCCCAACCTGTGTTTTATTTGGCCTCCCAAAGGTCTGTTCATTGACCTGGCACCAGTGCAGAGGGCAGGAGGAGCTTGGCCTTGGCTGTGGCTGCAGTTCCCCCTCACTCAGAGAGCTCCACGTTCCCTGCAATGCCCCCCATGGCTGTATTTAAAGTACGAATTTTTTTTTTTTTTCCTTTCTATAAAATGGAGCCTTAATAAGACACTGATGGTCTTGTGGGGTTATTGATGCGCCCGGGCTCGGGGTGGGGCCGGTCTGTGGGGCAGCCTGGGGGGTGGAATCCCAGATATCCAAGTGTGCCAGGGGCTTCATCCATTTGGATGTCCTGAGAAAATTAAACCATCACCACCACCTTAAAAAAACAGAGATTTGTGTGGCACAGAGAAGGAAGATGTAAGAATTTCCAGTTTTAGGGAGAGCTCCTCCATTCCTGGCTGCCCCTGGGTGCTGTGATCACTGTCCCTGTCCCTACGAGGCTCCTCTGCACCAGGGTTTGGTGGAGCAGTGCCTGCTCTGGGAATTGCTCCCTGTGCACCTGGGCAGGACAGGGACACAGGCAGAGACCTGGAACAAACCCTTAGGAACCAACTCCAACGTTTTATTTGGATGAAAGCAGAGAACAGTCACTTTGGATCAGTCTCAGAGAACAGAGAGGCAGCTGGGGGCTGCACGGGGGGTTCAGTGCCCAGCTGTGACCGCTGTGGCCACCCCGGAGCGTGCCAGACCCGGTGGGCTCACTCCCAGTGCTTTATGACCCTGTTCCCCTCCGAGTCCTGCGTGAACAGGGGCTCCCAGCCCAGCTCCAGCCGCAGCCCCCGCGGCTGGCTGGCCCTCGGGGGGCTGGCCCTGGGCCTGTGGGCAATCACCCTGTTCCCTTGGGAGTCCTGGGAGAAGAGCAGCCCGCAGGACCCCGCCGGGAGCTGGCCCCGCTCCCGCAGGGGCTGGGCTGGCACCGGGCTCCGGGGAGAGCAGCAAACCCCTCTGGGGGCAGCCCCTGGGCCAGGAGCTGTGTCTGCCACCCCTGGGCCAGGCTTTGTGTCCTCAGCCCTTGGGCCAGGAGCTGTGTCTGCAACCCCTGGGCCAGGCTTTGTGTCCTCAGCCCTTGGGCTGGGCTTTGTGTCCTCAACCCCTGGGCCAGGCTTTGTGTCCTCAGCCCTTGGGCCAGGCTCTGTGTCCTCAACCCCTGGGCCAGGCTTTGTGTCTGCCACCCCTGGGCCAGGCTTTGTGTCCTCAACCCTTGGGCCAGGCTTTGTGTCCTGAGCCCCTGGGCCAGGAGCTGTGTCTGCCACCCCTGGGCCAGGCTTTGTGTCCTGAGCTCCTGGGCCAGGAGCTGTGTCTGCCACCCCTGGGCCAGGCTTTGTGTCCTGAGCTCCTGGGCCAGGCTTTGTGTCCTCAGCCCTTGGGCCAGGCTTTGTGTCCTCAACCCTTGGGCT